ATTAATTATATTTGTATTATATTTTAATGAATAAACTTAAAAATAGAGAAAATTAAAAATATTATTATACATATATAATATAAAAATTAATTAAATTCATTATATTTATATTATATTTTAATATTAATTTAAACCAAATAAATACTAAAAAGTGTTCAACAAAAAAATATATCAATATTAATTAAATTGATTATATTTATATTATATTTTAATATTAATTTAAACCAAATAAATACTAAAATGTGTTCAACAAAAAAATATATCAATAATTTTACTTTTAAATATTTTTGTATGTTTACGATCATCAGGATGGCGGAACTGATAAGCCCTACCCTTGATCGGCAATACTAAGTACAGTGCGAGTTCTTAATGATGCAAAAGAATAAATTAATCTCAAGCAGTCATGCCCAACAACAACAAAGTATTTATTTATGAGTAAAATCCCTATGTGACCCTTAAGAGGCCCAGGGGCCCCAGGATGAAGATTTTTAAAGATTAATGACTAATGAGAAATGATTTCTATTAAAAAATAATTTCCCAATATTAGTAGATATATTAAGGTCTATGCAGATTGATTTGGATCGAACATTCATTAATAATTGTAAATCTTTTGTATCTATGTTAAGAGAGACATTCATACATATGTCATAGATGTCGTATGATTCTATGTTAATAAGAAAATTATCGCATTTCAATTAAAATCAACTGTTTGGGGTTAAGGTTTGATTAAAGCAATGGGTTACTTTATCAATAATGTATAGTTTAGTAGTAAATTTTTTAAAAAATAAAATAAAAATTTTTATATTCAAGGTATAAAATACGTAAATATAGTAAAAATAAAATGAAAGATAATTTTTGTATAATGTGATTTAAAATAAAAATAAAAATTAATGGACTACCTTGGAATTAAAAGGATAACAATTGCCTTTGTAAATGGCCCCTCCGCGTCGTGCAAGGCCACACCATCAATTGTTATGAGGGCGCCTTTAGATGATATAGACACCGTAGAATTTGGTCCCACAGTATCACGGAGAGAATATGACCCCATACTAACCAGCCCCCTAATCTCAATTCTGATGTCTCATGTGCTTCCAAATTCCCTCTTTGTAAGCTTGTGTTTTTTCATTAAACATTATTTTTCTTACATGGCCGTTCATATCCCAAACTAGCTAACTTTTGAAAGGAGTTAAAGAGTATTTATTAAAATTGCATAATTATTGGGTAAAAATTTTGACAACAATTAATGAAAACACATTTAGTATTTTCATTTTT